GCATAATTTCATTTGATAAACACGTTTAGATTGAATGGTAATTTATAATCAGTCACAAGAACGTCGAATCTGAATCACTTGAAAAAACACGGGGGTGCTTAACTTTTTTCCAGGTGTATAGTTCCAGCCAAATAGTAGCTTCTGACAAGAAAAAGTCCCTGGAACCACCATCACCCCAGACAAGAAAATTGGAACAAGATCTCCCAGCAAACCACTAACGACATAAGAGCAACTCACCATGCTCCAAAGTTGTTCTCACCAAGCCCTCAGCATATCCAGTCAAGCTTATACCAGAGAAGAGCCGTTATCTTTTTCTCCAAGTTCAACCCCATGTGCTACACCTACCAAAGCCATGAAGACCACTCCTCAGCCACAATCGCCACTCGAAATACCAAGTCACAAACCAGCTACTACCAGAACTAGTCCAGAAACATCACCCATTCAACAATCCTGCTCTCCTCTAGCTATAATTGTTGAAGGTTCCTCCTACCTTCAGACAACCAGAAATTGCAGTGGAACTTGGGCAACTGTTCCCCAAGATCCTGTTTTCCAACATTTGCCGATTGCCAAAATGGGGAATTGTAATCAAGACCAGCAGTTCCCGAGAATACACTAAATTTCTCAAGCCATGAAGGCCAGGCTAAACATTCTTGTCCCTAGGAACAACAGCCGACCCAAGTCATTCAACATCGTAATAGGAAGTGTCCCACTTGACATCCAGCCTGAAGAAGTTATCCAAGAACAAACTCAAGTGAATCAAGTCTGCCAGAACAGGTCAGGATACCCAACAAAGCAGACTAGCAGTCACCTCCAAGAAAGAAGCAGCCAAGCTGAACAAAAGTGGTATCAACCTATGATATCAACATTAAGAAGTTCATGTCTAACATGTGCTTGCTTTAACACTCTTGCTACACTCAGTCAAATTGACCAAATTCATGACCCAAAATTGCCCTATATAGTTTCTATACTATAACTTCTAATACGTTTTGTGTATCTTCACAAAATTTCACGAAACGCTTCAAGTAAGCATTATGTCTTTTGTAGACCAAAAATCAGAATTTTTAATGCAGTATTTTCACTAAAAATTTCTCCATGAATATATGGAATCAAAGTATTGACTGCTCCAAGTGCAAAATGATTTTCATATCAAGATTAAAAATACTTTGTTCCTTTGAAAATAGTCAAATTTAACTTGTGTAGTCTCTAAAACCTCCTTAATAAATTTCAAATGTATTTGTTTCAGTAAAACTTTATATTTTATCTCTTATTTTCTCTACCCTAACTCTATATGCATTTGGCCAATTTGATGAACCTAGTAACCATCATAAAAGTGCATACTATATCTAAATTACCCTTTATTTCTTTCTAGAATGACTTCACACTGTACATTAAACTACATTTGTTTATCCTAAATAGCTTAAAGCTTGTAATAGTATATATATATATTTCTACTTTAAATTTATTGTCTTACTGCCTTTTGAAACCATATCTAACTAATTATCCCACCACACAAGTTGTAAATTAACTGAACATGTAGCTCATTGTGAGATTAAAAAAAAAAATAAGTATATATATATGTTCTTCTTTTTGCCAATTGTTGAAATAAATGGCTTTTACTTATAATTCTTAATAGTATAAATATATACTATGTTTTTCTTTTAGTCTTTCTTTCTCAATTTGTCTCTTCTGTTGCCATTCTTGTTGTTGTTTAACAAACTCTTGTAATTCACTGTCTTTTAATGCAAGTTGAGATCCTCTTTCTACCCATTTATCAAAATCTGTTGACATGGTTATATAGCATAATTTTAATCTCCATACTATTTTTGTTACTACTACAGTTGTGCGTATATATAGGCCTACTTATTTTTGCTGTCATTCACGTTTTCTTCTATCGCCATTTACCACTGTATAATCCTGGCTGTGGCTCGCCAATTGCCAGATTTAAAAAAAAATATATATATATATATACAAGTTATTTTTGCCAATTGTCGAAATAAATGGCTTTTACTTATATTTCTTAACAGTATATAAATATATACTATGTTGTTGTTGGGCTTAGGATTCTTCTACAGTAGGTGTTTGTGACTTGTTAGCGATAATTTCAATGATGAATAAACAGCACACACTTTATTTGTTTTCAAATAATACATATTTATTCGGAACAAGTTAAATCTATTTACAACAAAGTCTTCACACTATAGAGATTACAGGCATATCATAAACACTATTTATATATAGTTCCCTTCTTCTTCTCAAAAGTCCACTTAGGCCCATTCAATTACTTTAGAATTTCACTTGACAAGTCGAACTATCTTCTCTATATTACTATCATACTAGCATTCTGTATGTGATTCACTTTCAGTTGTGGCGCAGTTACCATAATTCGTTTGGTCTTCTGAAGATCCTCTGTTCCTTTTCTCAAAGTGTACCCAGGCTGATTCAATTACTTTAGAACCACACTTTGATGGAATGAAATTATCCTTCTTATCTTTTTTTATACTGTTAGTTTCACTGTAACATATTAAATGTTAGGTCTATCACCTTTGAGGTACTTAATGTCACACAACTATATTCTTTTTTGCTATTATCTGTCTATTGTTGTCTGTCTGCTGCTTCCTGCTCACCTCACGCTATTTATATCTTTATTACATAGTCGTCTGGCCACTTTCTACATTCTTGACACCAATTAGTTATTAACAAACCCTTGTACAATCATCTGCTTTTAACTCTTATTATAACAAAACTTAAAAATAATAAAGTATTCACTCACAAATATAAATGAATCACTAATATTTAAACCAAAGAATCTTTTATATCTTGACATTCATGTTACCCTATCAAATTACATAATGCACAGGCTACTCATGAGCATACCTCATGAAAAACATTTATTTATTTTTTCTTTATTTTACCTAATCTAACCTTATCTGAAAAGTTTATAATTTTTACATTTTAGTTACTTTTATAATAATAAATACAGAGTACACATGAAAAAGAAGAAATATAGTACTTACCTGGGTCTTCATTTTTTTGCATTTGACTGTTGATAAAACTTAATCGTACTTTTTTTTTATATCAATGGTACTACTGTATTAAATTTTCTATTTAATTAAATAATGAACCACATAACACAGAATAATAACACATAACAGGCAGACAAAGTCCTATAACTATCACAATGTTTCTGTTAAACATTCAGCTAAGGTTGTTGATGTGTTTACCATGGAAATAAAGTTTGAACCCGAAACAAAATATACAATTCTCTGTACAGAAAATAGCAAAATATAATATGTCATTTGATGAGTTAAAGCTTTGGCTTTTTGTTGGTTATAAATAATATAGCATTAAATGTAAGAGAGAACTATTGACAATTTCTGAAAGAGAGGATGTGGCAAGAGGGGTCTGATTTTCTAGTTTATGGCTCTGTGACTAAATAAGATTGAATGCTATAAAAATTATGTTTTCCTTGAGTAATAACAATATTATAATGAGTAATTTACATTAAATTCCATACTTCTCAGAGGAGTGGTAAATAAATTAAAGAGAGAAGACCTAAAGAGCATATGTCACAATTTTCATACTATGCGAGATTGAGGATTTTTTTTAAATATTGCCTTATAAAATTAAGAGCTTCAAACTTATATGCCATTAAAATTTGGGTTATTGACTATGTTTTGATGCCAAATTTATTTGTATACCATGATAATAAAATAGTTTAATTAAATTGTGAATGTAATTCAGTAAAACCTCATGACATGCAGAAAAGGATGCCCATAGGGAAACAGGTAAATAAAAACAACTAATAAGCTGAATTTCTGAAGAAAATTAATAACATTAAAATCAAAAATTAATCAGAATCCTTACCCAATTACCCAAGTAATATTTCACAGAACTCATAGACACACTATACTAAGTTAAACTATTAAGGTTCATAAATTTAAATAGGCAAAAAACTTACTTAGGTTACTTAGTTAATTTGAATAGTGTAGTTCCACATTTACTTTTAAGACTAATTATAATACATTATTCTCTATTTCTATTTTTACTTGAAAATTGGAAAAGGTTTTTATATTAATAACAAAATAATTCTCACCTGTTTTCTAATAATTTAATCCAAAATTCAGTAAAAACTTTTAACTACATTAAAAAAAAAACAAAGCTTATTTTAACATTTTCTACAAAGATCTAAATGCCAGTGTGGGTATCTGTATTAGACTGGTAACTTAATGTAGCATAACTTAATTATAACAAGCCTCAAACAAGAAATAAGAGTTGATAGAATGAACCGAATCAGGGTACTAGTATTCCTAATTGAAAAAAATATATACTGAATCAATTCATGTATTATAAAACACCTATAACACTCAGCTATAGCCTCACTTATAATTATATATAAAGTCATAGCTGTTAACTGTGTTACTTCTCACATTCAAATTAAAATCATCATATTTTTCAAATACTTGCACCCTTTCCCAAAAAAACTTCAAATGTGCATGGAAAGCCATGACATGATGACCCAAAATGCTACTCTATAAAAAACAAAAGAATGCACAAGTAAAAGGCTTAGAATCTGGAGCAAGAAAACAATAAATATGTCAATAAAACATTAACTCCTAAGATGAACCAATTTATTAGTATACATATACAATTAAAAGAAATATTAAAATAAGTTATTAAAAACAGAGATAAGCCCTAGAAAGAGTACATGTTAAAATGTTCTTATGCCACCATCTTTAGAAATACAAGTTCAATCAAGATTTATATAACTACACAATAGACTTAAACACCCAGAGTTTATAAGACATATGCCAAGTACTTTGTTTCGCCTTAACTTGGACCAACATTTCTGTTCAGCACAATATCTTTGTGCTAAAAAAAAAGAGGCTGGTCCAGGTTGAGGCAAAACAAAGTTTTTGGCATATGTCTTATAAACTCTGGGCATTTAAGTGTAGATAGAGCCATGTGTGCATATTATTGTGTAGTTATGCAAGTTCTGATCGAACTTTAACTTTTACTCCTAAAGATGGCAGAAGAACACCAAAACTTGTTTTTAATAAATTTTTTAACATGCAATTATTTTAATATTGTATTACTTTTAATTGTGTGTGTGTGTGTCTATATATATATATATATATATAGATACATATATATATGCATGCATAAGTGCCATTTTAATTTGTCAATTTATAAAAGTATTTGCTGAAAGGAGAAGACAAAATTATATGAGAACGTTGACAGTATTTGTATTCAATAAGACACAGCACATATGTGTGAGTTAGTGAAGCTGTTCATCTACAGATAAAAATGTATACACAAAAAATAAGTTAAAGTCACATCCTGAAAAGTTTCTTGCAACCCAAGTGTACACTGGCCTTCCTGTTCATGTGTGTGATGAAAACTTATTTAACAATGATAATTATTTAGTGCTTGAATGTTCTAGTCACAATCCATATATGGTTCAAAATGGTTAAATTTTGGAACAGACTGATCATGACATCTCTGCATATTGTGAAAATGGACTTTAAGAGATAAATTCAACATGAGCTACTACTTTTATCTTTATACAGAGAAAGTTAAGTTTATACCAAGTCTTTGGTTGATTTTTCTGGGAATGTTCTTTTCAATCTATCAGAGCATAAGGTCCACTTGTTTAACATCCCTGATGGATACTGTTCCAGGATATGATACAGTACTGACTTCTCTGATGTTCTCCATGTGTCTGTTAAACAGACATCTCTGCAATACAGATAGTAAGGTGATTAAACCAACAAGGAAAAATCTACAAATATACAAATAACTTGAACTTGTATATATCATTCATGAATGAAGTGTACTATAAAGATTAATACCAACATCTCTAATGTTAAAAACACAAACTGCTATATGAAAATGAAAAATATAATCACCAAAGGATTAACAATACTTGATAGTTCCTACTTCACACAGTTACATTTAAGTTTTCTGCATATAAATAATTAAAAATGCTGAACAAATTTTCCAGCTTAATGAATCTATTCATACAAGCTTTTTTTATTGTACCATTTGTATTCAAATATTATGTAATAAATTCTAGAGAGAAAAAAATATTTTGCAAAAATATTCATAGTAGGTTCTTCACCAATGACCTATACATCTACACTAAAGGAGGAAATTAAATGAAGGAAAAAGTATATATATATTCAACCATTACTATCACTGAAATACATTAAAACAAAATATATAGACAGAAGATGTGCACACAATCACAATTCATTAAAAGAAAATCAAACTGAGAAACACACTTGGAAGCATAAACAATATAGGTGATGTGGTATATAAACATACCAAGTGTTTTCTACCTTCTTATGTTAATACAGTACCATTTTAAGTTTATCAATTATTCTGAGTATGAGCATTTTTCACATAACACATTGTCAAGAAAGTCCTTAAATTAATTTTGTTACAGCTGCCTTTATTTCTTTGTCATTCTATAGACAATCATACCTATATGGCTGTAATTCTGCATGTTATTCAACAGTGTAAACAATACTATCCTTCAATGGTTGGTCAGGTAGTACCTTGTGGTTACAACTTTCACTACATTTCAATGAGAATGAATAGTCACATGGGTAGCACTAGTAACTCTGTGTAAATCTAACATTATGCATAAATTTATGTTGTTTTTACTTGATAGCTATTTCAGTTTAGTATCTTCTGAGGTAAACCTCGGAAGATAACCAAGGGCACTCAGAAACAGCAGTTTCTCTTCACCCCACTTGTGACAGGGGTGAGGGGCTGTACTCTGAGATATGTGACCATGGTTGGTGCTCACTTCTCTTTTGTCAAATAAACTGCCCGGCTAGTAATGAACATTGAATTTAAATAGTCTGGTAAATCTCAGCTGATCAGTTTGAGAGAACAGTTAAAATTTAGGACAAAGGATAATCCATCATCCAAAGCATGCACATACACTTCGTTTGTGTAATATTATAATAGAGAATATGTTTTTGATATTTTGCACTGTGTCCAGTCTCTATTTTATTCTCAAGAACTCAGGTATTCAGAAAAACACAGTATTACTTTGTAAAAGACATCATGCTAGAATTGGGTTATCACAGAGACTTTGGCTGCTTACACAGATGATCTGTGCCATTTGCATGGTAAGACTTAGCTTGCAATGGCTTCAGTGGATTGTCAGGCTATCCTCACTGACCAGGTTGTGGAAAAGCTATCCAATGAAACAATGAGACATCACCGGGGTGTAAGAGATATCACTTTTATTGAAGCACTTTTTATGGTAACTTCTAAGTGGTTGCAAGAGATGAAGAAGTCTGCAGTGACTGTACCTCGAACAGACCACCCTATCCAGATACCCACAACATGCCAAGCTTAAGTCCAGCTATGAGTTAAACAATCATTCACAGATCCTGATTCTGCAATGCAACCACACTGATTATCCTAGGAATGGGCATGGCTATCCAAGTCCTCACATGGTTTACATGCAGCAGCCTATTTCAATAATGCCTGTACCTGGACATCATTCTGGTAGAGGGGAGCAAAGCATTTGTTTTGCTTATGGAGCATTGGATCAATTTTGAATGAATTACCTGAACCTTTTCAAGTAGCAAGGAAGACAAGTCTAATGGTTTCAACAACAGTTGAGCAGATGTAGGAGAGCCAACAATAGGCAGTGAGTAATACTGCTACAGAGCCCAATTTGGAGTGCAAAAACAGCTTGCACCAAAAGGTTTGGTGGTCAACCCAACTTTCTCAGAGCTGAGCAGTCTTTTTAAGTACCTGTTAGAGTAAAAGAGCAAGAGAATAAGTTCTTGTTTGATACATAAGTTGCCAAAACATTGGTAGATCTCATGGTATATCAAGTTTCTGTGCAAAGCCACCACTTGCTCCAGTTGATAAAAATTCTTCAAACCCAGGAACTGTGGACCGCATAAGTGTATGACAGAAAGGAAGTCATAGTACTCCCATGTACACAAGTGGTGTTCTGTGGTTTACTATGGACAAGTTTAGTACATCAGTGCCACATAACATGATAATAGAGTCGATGCATGAAATATGAAAGCAGCATGAACTCAGGCTGTTACTCAGAGAAGAATGAAGTACCAGTGTTGTTCTGCAAGACTGCAACATAATTATAAGCTCTCACTAAAGGTGAGATGCATTTCAGTACTTAAAGCATGCTTCAGTAAAAGCACCACGGCTGGGGTATTCACAACAGGACTGTGATCTTTTATTGAATACTGATGCCAGAAATAGAGGAATCAGAATAGTGTTATCCAGTTGCAGGACATAGTAAATTATGTAATCGTGTACACTAGTCATATGCTCATGACTTATGAATATAGATACTGTATAACAAAGAAAGAACTGCTTGAAACTGTACTTTTTGCAAAACACCAGTGACACTCCTTGTATGGTAGAAGGTTCAATGTTTGAGTAGATCATGCATCACTGAAATAGTTGATAAAGCTTAAAAACCCTGGAGGAACAATGTATGGTGGATAACAATGCTACAGGAGTACAATTTACTCATACACTAACACCTACACCTGCAACATGAAAACACTGAAGGATTATCTCACCACAAATGGAGACCCTGTACATTTATTGGATGTCCTGACCCTGAATACTGTGTGGAAGTTGAAACCATTTCTGCTAAAACAATAACAAGCCAAACAATAAAAAAATAAACTAGTGGTTGGTTTTCTTGATTAATGCTTCAAAAGCTTTGTTAAGAGCAACACAAAGATTGGAGGCCAAGATGTTATCTGCACTTTGTGTCAACACTGTATGGGGTGTGCCATCAAGAGAAAAAGCTGGTCTGTATAAGGTAAAGTCAAATAGACAATTTTTAGTTCTCCTACACAGAGAATAGCCATGAATATTGCTGGTCCATTTTCAGAGAGAGAATGAGGGGCATATACTCTTAAGTTGTGTAAAGGGTTGAGTATGATGCAGATTCACACTTTGTCTTAACACAACCAGTTTAATGGTTTAGTAGAGTGGGTCATAGAGACTGTCATGTATGTACTTGTTAAGTTTGTAAATTCTGATTAAACAGACTGGGACAAATATTTGCTGTACATCATAATGCCATACTGCACAACTAGGAAGAGCTCAAAAGATTATTCCCTGAACATGCTCACGTTTGGGTGAGAAGTCTTGCTTCTTATAGACCATTTGTACAAAGTGGTGATGCAACAGGCATTACAACTAATGGCAACAGCCATCCTACCTTTGCGATAATCAAAAGGAAATTATAGAATGTAGTGTATACATTGTAAGCTGAACATTACTTAACAGCTTGGAAAGCACAGACTGCCACTTTCTTTCAGTCCTTGTTTTCACAACCATATGACTGTCTTAACTTGTAATGATTAAGTTTAATCCCACCCATATTGATTGGGAGGTTAGCAGCAGCAGTTCCATGGACCATTGGAACTGAGCCTCCAGGTCCACTTCTTCTTCACATGATTCAACCTGAACATAACACTTTGCTCCTCATCTTCAAAGTCCTAATGGGACAAAACAGTGGTTTTTTTTCCCCATCTGTCTCGACTACCTCAACTTCTGGCTCTTGATCAAGCCAGTTCTGCAAAGGTTTATTGGTCAGTTAAGTACATAACTGGTTGATGTGAACACTCTTGCACATCTCTGGCCGGCTGTAATCCATATGTTAATGTAACAGCTCATCAGAATACAAGAGGTCCTGTCAAGCTATAGCCAAGAGGCTTCCATTGTTGCTGGCTCACAGAAAAGCCACACTCAGTCTCCTCTTTCGTCCATTTTCTCCTTTACAGTCTTATTGTAGCACCTCTACATGTCATGTGGTGGTCTCTCCTTGCTCTTGATATGCAAACTCATGTGAATCAATTCACATATTTTTGTGGACATTGTGGGATAGCTGATATAGTTAGAGGACCTTATACCATGCCTACAGAAAACAAGACTTCTCAGCCAAAGATGAGCATATTTGCTAAATAACCTGTTGTTCTCCATTCAGTTATGTTTGACAGTTTGTATCACTTGTTCTACTAAACCACCAGACTGTGTATGATAAGGTGAGGTGCATGTCTTCACTACATCTAACAGATTACATACCTTACAGAACAGTTGGATGCTAAAGTTATCTCCCTGATCTAGGTGGATCTCTTCAGGTGCTCTGAACAGGTCTACCAATGCTCTGTTAGTGCATCAGCCATGGAGAGTGTGGATATATTGATCAATGAAAAACTTTGACCCACTACTGGAGAATGAAGGAAATTATCTGTATATATTCCAGGGCTATTTACTGCAGAAGAGAGCAAATAATTCTTTGCTGGAGCTTACCTTGTTTAGAATTATCTGTGTGGCACACACAGTACAATATTCACACTAGTGCTGAATGTGTGGACTTGAATGCAGCCAGACCACTGTGGCGCCTTAGCACATGTATTTATCACCTTGGTACCCTCCAGTCTTAGTGCTTTGCAAATTCTGAAAAATTTCAGACCTAAATACTCTGGGTACACTAGCTGTAGCACAGGATGAGAACCACTGCTTTGTGGTTGAAAACAACAGTACACTACAACTTTCTGCACTCATAACTGTTTGTAGAAGCACCATAGGTAATGTTCATTGTTTTACCACTTGAAAATCGAACATCCTATCAAACAACCTAGAGCCAAAATTATTTTATGAAGAACACTCCAAGCAGTCCTTTCTTCATTTTATAGTAATACCATTCATGAGCATATGAC